CGCGCGCCTCGGCCGCGGGGGCGCGGCGCCTCCGCCGCGCGCGGCGGGGTGCCGACGAGCCTCCGGCGAGCCCCTTACGACGACGACGCCGACGGCGCCCACGACGACGAAGAGGACGGCGACGCCGACGGCGACGATTACGCCGACGACGCCCACGACGACGACGCCGACGACGGCCGCGATGACGAAGAGAACGACGACGCCGCCGACGATGGCGACGACGACGACGACGACGGCGGCGTCGGCGGCGGCGGTTCCTTTCAACGCTCGTGTTGGGGACCTTCCTGTGGACACCTAGCGGGTCTATTCGATTCCAGTTCGACTCAGCTTCGACTCAGTTTCGACTCAGGCTCGACTCGGGTTCGATTCAGGTTCGGCTCGGGTCGACGGATGTCCGACGCAGTTTCGACGCACAAGTGAAGCGAGTGGCTCTCAAAAGGTTCTCCAAATCAGCATCTAATCTCGTGGACCTCTGGGAGGCTCCCGGTAAGCCTTCAGGACGTCGTTACGAGCCTCTCATAGACGTCGGCGCTATTGTCGTCGTAGAAGACGCCGCCGTCGACGAATGGCCGAGGGCCGAGGATCAGTGGTGCAGCTTTGTTTCAAAAGTTTTGACATGTTTTGTTGTCCGGGCCTCCTAAGGTGGCCAGGGCGCGCATCACGAATGGTGGTCGACGTCGTCGTCATTGTCCACTTCGTCCGGCAGCTATGACGTCGAAATAAGGGCCACTTCGTGTTCAGGACGGGCTCCGGCGTTCGGGCCGCCCATCAGATCAAGGTCGTGGGACCTCACTCGCGTGGCCGACCCCTCGCCGTGCCGTGGCCAGGAACACCCCTTCGTTCCTTGTCCGGCGCTGCCTGCGGTAGAACGAGTTCTGTGTTCACGACGCCTGGGCAGACTCGCGGCGCGTTAGGACGATTTTGTAGGCAAGCGACACGCATCAATGTTCGGATGTCCGCGCGGATGTGTTGGATTTGCTGTGTGCCCGTTGGCTGCGTTTTTTGCGCGGCTGTGTCATAACCGCACGCGCCGGTGTGTGCATGTGTGTGTTTGTGTGAATGTGTGTGTGTGTGAATGTGTGAATGTGTGTGTGAATGTGTTTGTGTGTGCGCGTGCTGAATGTGTTTGTGTGTGCGCGTGCGTGTGCGCGTGCGTGCGTGCGTGCGTGCGTGCGTGCGTGCGTGCGTGCGTGTAAGTAAGTGCAAGTAAGTGCAAGTCAGTGTAAGTCCGTGTCACCGCGTTGCGGTTTGTGTGTGTGTGTGTGTGTTTGTGTGTGTGGTGTGTATGTGTGTGTGTTTGTGTGTGTGTGCGTGTGTGTGTGTGTGCGTGTGTGTGTGTGTGTGTGTGTGTGTGTGTGTGTGTGTGTGTGTGTGTGTGTGTGTGTGTGTGTGTGTTTCGCGCCTCCGCGTAGCCGAGGCTCGCGCTGCTGGCCCAGGGGAGCCCCGAGGCGCAGTCGCTGGTGCTCGGGGGACGCCGGCCGTACACCGCGCAGGTCCTGGGCGGGCCCACCCTGGGCCTGGGCCACGGGGCTTGCGCCTTCGCGGCCAGGCAGGCAGGGTGAAGTCGGGCACGTGCCTCTACGATACAGGAGGAATCTTCAACCACTGTGAAGATTGTTCTGGGGACGATTCTCCGATTCTATTCGACTGTGCTTGAATATTTTGGGACTGCTCCAAAATGGTTCTTACATTGTTTGGCTATTTGTCACCGTTCTTCCAACATCCGCCTGTAGGAGGACATGCCCGACCTAGCAGCAGGGCGCACCGTGGAGGTCGGTCAGCGGGGCGGTCCTTCCGGATCAAGGGTACCCTGCGTCCGAGGCGGGGTGGGGGGCTGCCCATGCCCACATCGTGGGGTCTCGACCTTCGGGGACCTCGGCGGGCGGTGGGTCTGGATGCTTGCGTGCGGTGGGGGGAGGGTGTGTGTCAAATTTAGCGACATCCACCGCCTGCCGCTGTCCCCAAAGCTCGATCCCACAGGCGGCTGCCATGGGCCAGTCCCCGCCGCGCGCCGCGCGTCGCGTGTCTTGTGCCCTCCGGTGCTGTGGAGGCCAGTCCACAAGAAACCTTCCACAAGAAACCCAACCCTGGGACCCAAGGACGTCCATTGTGATTTGTGGTATGGGAATGTCACGCCTTCCATCGCAAACCCATCGGAACCCATCGGAACCCAGGGCGCCCTGGAGGCAAGCAGGGTGTCTCTTGGCAGGGGCTTCCGCCGTGCGGGCAGGCGGCACCGAGCCCGGGCCCCGGGCCGGGCCCGGCCAGGGCCTTCGGCGCGGGTTGCGGGCCGCCGTCCGCCGCGAGGCGCTGGCGGCGGGGGCGGCCGAGGCGCTGACGGCGTCCATGGAGGCTGATTGGCCTGTTTTTCACCACCACCACCATCGGTTGGAGGAGGAGGGGGTCCTCCTCCTCCTCCTCCTCCTCCTCCTCCTCCTCCTCCTCCTCCTCCTCCTGCCCCCCCCTCGGGCTCATGGTGGCGGTGGCGGCAAGCAGGCCCGTCGGAGGCGCACGCCTCGGCGGCGGCGGAGGAGCTGCAGGCGGGCTGCGCGGCGGCCCTGGCCGCGCTCGCGGGCCGCGCGGGCGGCGGCGGCGCCGCGCGCGTGCTGGCCGCGGGGGCCGCGGCCGCCGCGGCGCGCGCGGCGTGCCTGCCGGCGGCCGAGGGCTCCGACGGCCTGGTGCAGGAGCCCGCCAGTCTGAAGTCGGGCTGCCCGCGCGAGCCGCTTCCTCTGGGCCTCGAGGGCCAGGTTTTGAGTCGGGCCTGGCTCCCTGCAGGAGGGAAATCCAAAAATGGTCCAACAAGTAGTTAGTCTAGAACGATTTGTCGAGGAATGGTCAAACAAATAGTTTGTCTAGAACGATTTGTCGAGGACGTTTTGACTATTTTCGAGCATTTTTGTTGGGAGATGTTTTCATTTTTCGTTGAAAATCCGCCTATAGGGGGACATGCCCGACCTAATTGTTGTCCACTTCTGGCGCGCTCCTTCGATCTAAGCCTCAAGGGCCAGTTGGCGAGCCTCTGTACAAAAGAACACATCGAGGCCACCCAGATGGGGTCCGAGTAGGTGGTGTCGGAGGATCGCGCCGCATTGACGATGCGGCTCGATGCGAAGCCCGATTTTCTTTACGACGACGTCGCCGATGCACCGCCGACGTGGCCGGTTCATCGCCGATGCATCGGCGATGCGGCGCGATCCTCTGACCCCGTGTTTTCGGACCCCAGTTTGGAGGCCTCCAAAAAAGGATCCGTGGCGAAAAGCTTCCCCTGGGGAAGCGGTCGGCACGTCCAGGGCCGCGCGTCGGGAAAGCAGTTGAGCGATGTGTGGGCCTGTCGGTGTCGATCCGTCTTCCAGGTTCGAGTGCTCCAGGAGTCTTCGGAGATTCTCGGGTCACGCGGGGGGGGCTTTTTCCACCCGCCGCGGCCTCGTCGACGGCGCTCCGGGCACGCCCGAGGCCCGAGCTGCAAGACCACAGGCCCCGGGGGCAGCATCGCAGGGAGGAGGAGCGGGTCACGGGCAGAGGTCCCTGGGGGGTCTGTGTGCCCGCGGCCTTCGGGCTCCATGGGGAGCCTCCGTCGGGGGCGGAAAAGAGGGGGGTGATGACTAGGGGGGGGTGGATATCATGGCGGGGGCCATGATATTTCCCCAGATTTCATGGCGCCTCTTCTGATTTCATTACGTCCCTGGCCCCCCCGCTGGGCCGCGCACATGCCGCCGGTCATGATTTGCACCCCCCTCTCTTGGACACCCCCTTCTTGGCCGCTCCCGACTCCGCGGGCCCTGGGGGCAGTGGAGAGACAGCTCGGGATGGAGGGCTGGCCTCGGGGGGAGGCCCCCGAGTCCAGGACCCGTTGCCCGCGCGAGCCGCTTCCTCCATGCCTCCCGGACGTCCGGCGATATTTCTCTGTGGTGTTTGTCAAGCCACGGCCCCAGAGGCCCCGACCCCTTGCCATAGGTTGCGGTGGGGGCGCTCGTGAAGGAACGTGCCCAGGAGGCTTCAGACCCTGGGGGGGTTCCTTATCGGATGAGGGCGGCGGTGATGTCCATGGCCGATCCACGATTGGAGTTTCATTATCGGAGGTTTCCTTATCCAATGCCCCCCCCGTAGTTTCCCGCCCCAGATCAGATGTTTATGTTCCCAAGGCTCGGTACGGGCCCCAAAAGTGGCCGACAGCGAGGAAAACATCGCAGGGATCGAACTCAAAACATGGTGTCGGAGATCAGGGCTGCCTCTATGCCTTTGGGATCGCCGCGGGGGGGGGGCTAGGTGGATAGTTTGGCGGTGTATCAGCGTATAACAGGATAGGTTTCATCTGGCCTAGCCTGGGTTATGTTACATAACTTATGTAGCACCCCGCTGTTGCGGATAAGAGTGAGGGGGTGGTCGCGAGTGGGACGACGACGACAACAGACAATAACAGGAACAATTCGCACCGCGGAGCCCCTCCTCAGCCACGCGCCCAAGGACAGTGAATGACCGTTCGGCCCCCTCACTGATAAATGGGTCACAAGTGCCCTGAGTGACGTTGCTTGCGTGGGGCAGAATTCCACACATTGGGCGGAATTCATTTAGCCTGAATATGATAACCCCTACGCCACCGAGGGCACTTGCAACCCACCTATAAGCCAGGTTGGGCCATACGTGTATAAATCTATCTGTGTACACATATGTATGTATGACGCCGCGCCGTTTGTTCCGACGCGCGGCCCTACGTCTTGGGGATCTCGCCGCGGCCACCAGGACAAACGCTGTCTCTGACGCGGTGTGCCTGCCATGGGGTTTGCCGCGGTGCCGGCTGCGTCTGCTTGGGCGCGGGGCTCAGGGTGTGCCGTGGATTTGCCGCGGTGTCGGCCAGGTCCACTTGGGCGCGTTCAAAACAAGCGGCGCGGCGACACGTCTGCATATACAGATATGCATACGATATACGCATAGATGCATACAACCCACTCAGGCATTCGCCCCTTGGCAACTCAGCACCCTCCGCAGTGAGCCCGGTGCAGGAGCGCGCCTGCGAGCTGCTAGCTGTGCTGGCGGAGGCCGGAGGGCCCGCCGCGGCCGCGGAGCTGTCGGCGTGCAGCGCCGCCGAGGTCACGGTGGCATGCCTGGCCCACTTCGGCCGGCGGGCGGACGTGGCTGCGGCCATCGGGCGTTGCGCAATGGGGGGCGATAATTCATCATCAGCGTCATCATCATAATCAGCATCATCATAATCACCATCACCATCACCATCACCATCACCATCACCATCACCATCATCATCATCATCATCATCATCATCATCATCATCATCATCATCATCATCGTCATCGTCATCATCATCATCATCATCATCATCATCATCATCATCATCATCATCATCACCATCACCATCACCATCACCATCACCCTTACCATCAGCAGCAGCAGCGGCATCCTCATTATCACCAGCACCATCACCGTCATCACCCATCATCATCAACAGCAGCATCGCCATCATCATCAGCAGCATCATCATCAACATCATCATCACCATCAGCATCAACATTATCAGCTTTATCACCGTCATCCATCACCATTACCATCCCGTCACCCACTATTCATCATCAAGCTTTCATCATCATCGTCATCATCATCAGCACCATCACCATCATCATCATCATCATCATCATCATCATGATCATCATCATCAGCAGCAGCAGCAGCAGCATCATCATCATCATCATCATTATCATCATCATCATCATCATCATCATCATCATATTCGTGTTTGCCACCGATTCTTTTTCTGGACCGAGCGAGCCAGTGAGATTGCAGGGGGGCTCTCAAGCACTCACGGGCGGCCCTGAGGACGTTGTAGTACTTCTGGCTCGGATGCGGGCTTCAGCATGCTGGAGACGTGGAGATGGAGCAGCCGGGCAATCATCTCTAACGTCACCGCGACCAGGGTACCCACAGGTGTGCGTACGGATCAACCCTCTCACGTTCCATATCTCTTTTCAGGCTTGTTAGGCCTGTAGCTATCCATGTCAGCCCGTCGCTTGGTGTGGCCATCTCCAACGCGGGCCAGTGCAGGGGCCTCATCTCATGTCGAACCGTGGTTCGTTTTTCTTCGCAGTGCCTGGTTTTGGGCGCCTCGATGAGTACCAGCCTGCGGCGCCAGACCAGGCTCTGCCTGACGATGGATGTTCCTAGCCTTCTCAGCAGGCGGTGGTCGAAGCTCTCTCCAGGGTGTGGCACCCGCGGGGGCATCGCGGCTGCCGCAGGGATGCCGTCCGTGCCGAGGTCCTCACAGTCACCCACGTCTGCATGGCTCGGGCCGGGCGAAAGGGGGGGGATTGGGAAAGGGGGGGGTTACGAAATTTGCTGCATGCAGCTGGTTTCGGCCCCACCGAGGGGCCCATTCCTCGACACATGGCCGCCTCCGGCGCCGGGAGGCGCCGGGCAAAAATCAGCTGCGCGAGCTGAGTCTCAAAAACCCCCCCTTTGTTATCCCCCCCTTTCGCCCGACCCGAGTGGTGGTGAGCAGGCGCTCTGGCTCGCCCGGCGGGTGCTCCCGGAGCCACGCCGGGTCCGCAACGTTTGGCGGGCGCCACCGCTCTAGGCACTCCCTCCTCCTCCTCCTCCTACTCCTCCTCCTCCTCCTCCTCCTCCTCCTCCTCCTCCTCCTCCTCCTCCTCCTCCTCCTCCTCCTCCTCCTCCTCCTCCTCCTCCAGGGTGGGGCCCGTTTCCCTCAGGCATTGCTCTGCACAGCCAGCTGCGGAGTCCGCTTCACCAGTGGTGCATGGGCCATCGGATTCTTGCGCGGGCTCGGGCGCTGCCGTCGACCCAGGTGCTGGAGCGGCCCTTGCAATAGCTGAGTTTCGAGGCCGAGCCGAGAAGGAGGCAGTGCACGCTGCGGAGTGCGTGGTGCAGGCTGGCGAGGACGCGACCAAGGTGTGGACCGCTCAGCTAGCGGAGGGAGCTGCAGGCTCGCATCCTGAGCGATATACTGCGAAGGACCCCGAGAGGGCGGTGCAGCTGGCATTCTCAAGAGAGATTGGTGCTGGCCTGATGTTCTTCGCGGTCGCGGAAAGGGCTCGCGGAGGTTCTTGAGGCGCCCCCGAGGGCGAACCTGGCCCACTGGTCTGCCTCTGCTGTTCGCGCTCGTGACGACCAGGTGCTTCAACGGCCAGGGGGGTCATGTATGCCGCAAGCTGGGCCACTGGTGTCGCCGCCGAGTCTCGGGCACCTCTTGGACGGCGTGGGCTGCATGTGGGCGCGCTGTACGGGCCGTGGCGCAGAGCCTAAAAGGCTGCATGCCACGTTGCTGTCCCCAGCGCGGACGCTGCGGGACGCGCCCGGCAGGCGTACTGGAGCGTCGCAGCCTGACGTCGATGGCCGGGGGCGGTGCCGTCGGTCACCGAGCGCGCTCCGTTCGTCGCAAAAGTGCCAACTCGCAACCGACAGAAATAAACACATGTCTGCTTTGATCTAATTTATCGCAGATCCCCCGCAGGGGACCCAGGCCATTTGCGAGCACTTACTTTGCGAGCAGTGGAACGCGCTCGTCTACTCGCTGCGGCTGTGACTGCGGTGGCCAGCTGCGCGTGCTCACGCACGGTGTCAACCAGGCGTCTGAGAGGTGTTATTCTTCGACCCTCCCAGTTCCATGTCAGCCGATCCGAGAGAAGTACCTCGAGTTTCTCCAGTCCAAGTAAGTCATGGTCCAGCGAGGCAAGCAATGTGCTGCCCGCGTGGGCTCGGACGGCTGGAGCCAAGAGTGGTGGATCTTCTTCCTGGAACAGCTGGGGCGCGCCCTGTTGGGGGCGGCCTCAAGCACGTACGCGTGTTTCGGGGACCTCGCGGTGCAGATGCTCGGCCTGCCCACTGGCCATCGGCGGTGCCACGTCGCCGGCAGCGGTCTCGGTGCAGTTGGCGAGCGAGGAGCTCTTAGGCTTCGCTCGCAAGCACCACTTCGAGGCTGTGGGGTTCGCGGACGTCTGCGAGCCAGGCGGCCTGGAGTGATTCAGGTACTTGCGCGATGGTTTGGTTTTGAGTCGCAGCCTTCATGCGAAGCATTCCCCGTGCAATGGGAAACGGTTTGTTGGCAGCGGCCCGCGTGACCCTGCGAACGAAAAAATTGTTGGATGAATCCTTCCTGCACGCGGGTCAGAGATGATGGCTTTCCGTTTCCATTGCTGTTCGAAGAGCCTTGGGGAGTTTCGCCGCAGTGTCTCGCGAACCGCTGTCTTTCGTTCTCAGCCCCACGCGTGCGCCGGCCCGAGGACGGAACGCATTTTTCGCACGCGCGGCTTGGCTTCGGGCGGTTTGCGCATGACGATGGAGTCCTCTGGGCCTTCAAAAGTCAGCACAAGTCAGGAGGGGAAGAAACACACAGACACAATCAAGTGTCGATTCCCCGGAAAATATGGGAAATATGGGAAGTGGAGGGGAAGGCGAAGATGAAAATATTCTGATCCCTGTTATTTGTGTTTATTTATGTGTGTGTCCCAGGGGCCCTTCAAAAAGTGGCAACAGTTCGTGGCTCGATCACCGAGGGCAGATTGAACGCTATCAAATTATTCCAGGGCCTGGGTTTCTCCCGCTGCCGTTGTGACATCCGCTGGCCAGCTATATGAGGCAGACTTGCCACTGGTCGTGAGGGTGGTTTGGAGCATCGTTCGCAGGCTGCCTCATATCTTGGAAGTCGAGCGTGCGCTTCTGCGATTGACGCATCCCCCTTCGATCTTTTCTGCGGGGCCTTCTCTTCATGGTTCCGGAAGGGGATAGACCTCCTACCCTGACGTGTCGATTAACGTATTGGCCGTTCTCGGTTCGCGGGAGGGCGTTGCGGCCGTCATTTTTGAGGGTCCAGGTCCGTCGGTTTCGGTCCTAGGCCGTTTTCATTAAAGAGTGGTTTACTAAAGGGAGGTTTGTCCACCGATGGTTCCGTCACGTGCAGTTCGCGTGGCACGGAGGTGCATCGAGGCATTCCTCCGCCCGCCATGCACACGGGGCAGCAGGGCGCAGGTAGCCGTCGCCTCGGAGGGAAGCGTCCCACGGTGCAGCTCCGAGCGCGGGACGACGTTCGGCGGCGCTGCGGCTCGCTCGCTTCGTCCTCGAAGAGTTCGGCGGCCCGGAAGCTCATGACGGCACAGCAGCTCGCGTACAGAAGCGATACCTTTCACAGGCGTGGCGTAAAGTCCAGGGGGGCCAAGGACGAGGAGGAAGAACACGGGGAAAAAGAGGATGCGTCTAAGACGCCGTCCAAGATGCACCGGGCGCTCGCGAAGTCGCCATTCGACTCCAAGCTGGTCGTCGAGGAGGGTACCCACGACGAGTTTTAGAAACAGGCCGAGGTCCAGTGGCCAACGAGCCGGGCGGTGATGGACAGCCCCGCGGACTTCATCAAATAACAGGCGCCTGGCACGACCGTCCCGAAGTTCAAGAAGAATTGCGCCTCTCTATTCTGGCGCCTCCTGGTCAAGATGGACTGATGCGAGAGCGGGGAGTCTTTGTGAGAGGCGGTGGCAGCGTTTCCAGGGACGGGCAGCTTGACAGTTGTTGGGGTCATCTCCATTGTATTGGCCATCTTCGGGGTTGGGCTTGTTGTGGGCTGGTGATCTGCTGCCGAAGAATTGTGGTGGTCCCGTCTCGTCCCCACAACCCTGGGCATTCTCGGCAATATCAGCAATGTCTTCGCTACTGGGGATCTTCCTTGGTTTGCGAGGTCGTGGGAAGCGTGGTCAGCTCGCGGTGGCTTGTCAGCTTTGGCGCCGGTGCTGATATAGATTGTCCACCAGCGCCAGCTTGCAAGATTGGTCGCGTAGGCTCCGTTTGAAATCCGTTTTCTTCCTCACCCAACGGGGAGAGAAGATGTTCAACATTGGTTAGGTGTCCAGCGATTTGCGCGAATGATATGGTTACTTACGTGAACATACCCAGAGAGGGCCATGATTTTCGTGGATGCCACTTTTGTGTCCGGACCGAGCAAGCCAGTGAGTGTGCAGGGGACTCACGCATTCACGGGCGGCCATGCGGTATAGCACCTTTTTGTCAGGATTCGGGCTGCAGCGAGCTGGAGCCGTGGGGATGGACAACAGGATGCGGAAGCAGGGGAATCATCGCCAGCATCATTGTCCTCCGTTCCCTCCTCCCCATCATCTTCGTCGTCATCATCATGAGCATCAGCCTCATCATCGAGGGTAAAAAACAGGTGCACGGTTCTTCCCCCATTTATTTCAAGGGAGGAAACACCACCCGGACCGGACAATCGGCATTTACAAACGGCCTTGGGCGTTTCCCAAACAGCCTTGCCCTGTTCGATCTCTTTTGTGGGCGCGTTTACTAAACGACTTCGCGTGTCGGAGTGGTTCTTATGGGGGTGGATTTCTTGATTTCTAGTGTCGCCCCCCCCCCCCCCCCCACACACCCCACACCAAGCGACGCCCGAGGCCGGCTGCTGGGCGCTGGAGGCGCTGGGGCGGCTGGGCGGCGAGTGTGCCCAGGAGACGGTCGGGAGACGAGCGGCCCTGAGATCCGAACGCCCCAAAGTTTTTGGGGGCCGGTCGTTGTCGCCCGCTCCGGGGCCCAGGGGAGCCTCACAGATCGACCCGCTCCGAGAAGCGGCGCAGAGCAGCGGGGTCCTGGGCCCTGGCCGTGGTGCCTTCGTCGAGACGTCGGACGTCAGAGGGGCGACGGAATGGTTCCCAGGCTTCCAGCGTCTTCCTGACGCGCGACGGGCGGATTTTGCCACGTTTGGCCTCTGGGGGCCCTCGCTTGGCCCCGAGGATGGTGATGATGCTGCTGCTGATGCTGATGATGATGCTGAAGAGGAGGAGGAGGAGGAGGAGGAGGAGGAGGAGGAGGACGAGGAGGACGAGGAGGAGGAGGAGGAGGAGGAGGAGGAGGAGGAGGAGGAGGAGGAGGAGGAGGGGAGGGGGAGGAGGGAGGGAGGGAGGGAGGGAGGGCCAGGGAAAAGGGGTGGGTCTGGCGGGCGTCCGAGGGCCTATCCCTAAGACTGTCCTCGCTTCTTGCTCGCCCATCTTAGGGATCGGCATCAGTTCGAGGCTGGTCAAGGCATGCCTCCCCGGGAAGGCCCCCCTCCGAGAGCCCGCGCCCGCCCGGCGCGCGGGAGATCCGCCCAGGAGGCGCGGGAGGCGGGCGCGGCGGAGGCGCTGCTGCACGCCCTCGTCGAGCACCGCGGGTCGGCCGAGGCTGACGGGCCTGTTGTCCACCACCCCCACCACCACCACCATAAGTTGGGGGGGGAGGAGGTCCTCCTCCTCCTCCTCCTCCTCCTCCTCCTCCTCCTCCTCCTCCTCCTCCTCCTCCTCCTCGTCCGCCTCCTCCTCCTCCTCCTCCGCCTCCTCCACTTCCTCCACCTCCTCCTCCGCCTCCTCCTCTTCCTCCTCCTCCTCCTCCTTGCCCCCTCCAACTCATGGTCGTGGTGGTGGACAGCAGGCCCATCAGAGGTGGAGGACGCGGCCTGCCGCGGCCTGCGGGCGGCGCTCCGCGGCGGCGGGGGAGCGCCGGAGGGCGCGGCTGAGGCCCGTCGGAGGGGGCCAGGCTCGGCTTCGCGCAGGAGAGCGGAGGAGGATGAGATCTCGGTGGAGGAGGAGAAGGAGGAGGAGGAGGAGGAGGAGGAGGAGGAGGAGGAGGAGGAGGAGGAGGAGGAGGAGGAGGAGGAGCAGGAGGAGGAGGAGGAGGAGGAGGAGGAGGAGGAGGGGGGTGGAGGAGGAGAAAGAGGAGGAAGTCTCGGCCCAGACGTGATCGCGTCGGCAAGAGGTCAGGACGGGCCGTTGTCGGCCAGTCTCGGCCCGGGGGGCGCCCCCGCGGCCAGATTGTAAGATCATGTCGTGGTAGGACTACAGGGATGCCGGGACGGTCGGTCCCTGCTCAATCCATGGGGGCGCCGTCCTGAACAAAACAGGACGTCGCTCGTCTTTGGGTGCCGCTGCTCGTCCTGGAGTGCCCTGGTCGCCACGGCCGGAGGCGACTCGAAGTTCCGGCACGGGCGCACCCCGGGAGGGGGCCCGAGAGCAGCGGCGCCGGTATCTCTGCGTCCCCCCGGAGAAGAGAGGGGTCCAGCTCGGGTCGTCGCGGCTCCTGGCGGTGTTCCTGCCGCGGGGTGCGTTCCAGCAGCCGCGTCTCGCCGGGGGGCGTGCCTGGGGTGCCCGGATCGCCCTGGGCGGCTGTCAGGGATCCGGAGTATCGGAGGCTGATCGACCTCCCCTCCCGACACGTCGATTGGCGAATTGGCCGTTTTGGGTTCGCGAGAGGGCACCGCGGCCGTCATGTTTGCGGGTCCAGGCCCGTCGGTTTCGGTCCCGGGCCGTCTTCACGAAAGGGAGGTTTACCCGAGGGAGGCTTGTCCGCCGCCGAGGTTGGGGTTCGGAGGCCGAGTGTCCCTGCAGTGGCCTGTGGTGCGCGGCGTTCGGGGCGCGCGATTGGGGGGGGGCAACGGCTCACGCAGCACCCAGGCCGCGCACGCAGCGATCGGCACGCCGCGCACCAAGGGCCACCAGTTGCCTCGCAGAGGGCCGCTCCCGCCCAGGATCGCTCCTGCGCGAAGCCGAGTCGGAGGGGCTCGATCTTTATGCCCCGCCGTCTGGTCGGCCGCGGAGCCAACAAGCTCGGCGGAAGAGGTCCGTGCAGAGACGCCGCGGCGTCCCTCGGCGGGGGGAGCCGGGGCAGGGAGGCGGGCCACAGCGGCGCCTGCCTGCCTGCAGCCCTCCTGCCTCTGTTTTGATTCGCCTGTGATGTCGTTGTCGTCGTCGTCGTCGTCGTCGTCGTCGTCGTCGTCGTCGTCGTCGTCGTCGTCGTCGCCGCTCCAACACCGAGCTCCTCGGCTGCACAGACGGCTGGGTGTACAGCGAGGCCCTGCCAGGCCGTGGCCGGGCTGCTGGATGGGGCGCTGGCGCTCAAGAGGGGAAGAAACATGCAGTGGGCATATCCTGTAAGGTGACCGTTTTTGTTATTCATTGTTTTGCCGATCGGCGCGGGCCCTCGCCCCCCCACCCCCTCTTCCCCTCCCCTATGGAGTAGATCTTGGCTGTTTTTGGTCGCCTGTTTCGAGCGGGTGGAGTCTCCCCCAGAAGCAGCATTCTTGCAAACAGTCGAATTCAGCAGATGTCCGGAGCCAGACCCCTCTCCACCCCCTTCCGCCCGATATCGAAACGCCGTATTTAAAACACAAAGAAAACGCTGACAAGAAACCTGCCTGCCAGCGGGCCCCCACAACGAGGGTTCTGATTCCCCGATCGCCCTGCGGACCCCAGTGGAGTCGGGGCGCCCTGGGAAGCTAGCTAGAGCGTTCGCGAACAACGAGCCCCCACGATTCCGAAACGGTTGATTGCACTGATGGGGGCCTTTTTCACCTCCCGAGTAACTGGTTGGTTGGGTCTGACGGGGTTGGGCGCCCGTGGGGTGCCTCTTGGTCACCCCGTGCGTTGGATGGGCTTCCTGGGTTGTTTGACTGGTGGGCGCCCGTGGGCACCGTGGGCCAGCAGCGAGCAAAGACGGACGCGTACACGCATTCCTATGCACAGGATTTGACATAAGAGTACCGACCGCACTTCGCGAGCGCTTGTAACCTTGAAGGCGGCCTCGCGAACTGCAGAGCATCTTCAAGCACGTGGCTTGGCTCTGCGGCCGACGCTGTCCCACGAGCGCCTTGTGGGCGCCTCGTCCGCTGGCCAGCTCTGCCGGGTGTCTCGACCAGTGGGCGCCTCGTGGGGAGGGCGCCTCGTGCGATGGCCCGCGCTCAGGATGGAGGGTTTCTCCGAAGGGCTCAGGCGACCCGTCCTCCTCCTCCTCCTCCTCCTGCTCCTCCTTCCTCCTCCTCCTCCTCCTCCTCCTCCGTATCCTCCTCCTCCTCCTCCTCCTTCTTGTCCTCCTCCTCCTCCCCCTCCTCCTCCATCTCCTCCTCCCCCTCCCCCTCCTCCACCTCCTCCTCCTCCTCCTCCTCCTACTCTCGGGTCGCCTACGGCCCCGGGGGAAACCGTGCAGCTTAGGATGTGCACACGTCGTTTGCATCGCACAACTTGCACGACGCAGGTTGCACCACGAAGCTTTGCATGCCATGTTTTGCACGACCTGGGTTGCACCAGACATTTGACATCCCATGCTGCCCTGTGAGTGCTGCAGCACGTAGATCAGGCCCCATCCGTTGCAGCACCACATGGAAATAGCCTGCACCAACTCTTTGCACCACGTTGAGTATTGCATCCCATCGATTCCACCATACCTAGTGCGCCACATACGTTGCACCCCATGTTTGGACGGCCCAGGTTCCAATAATAGAGCACAGCACATCCGTCAATTCCCGAACATGGAATTAGCCGCCCTGCCGAGGTCTTACCCCTCTCCTTCGCGCATTGCCTACTCACTGTTTGCTACGCTCGATCGCATGTTAGGGGCCAGTCAGTACAATGCTAGTTGACGCGATACTGCCCTCCACCCCACCCCTAATCCCTTGCAGATGCTACAAGGCGGTGCGATCGCGTTGACCTAATAGGAACGGCTTGCCAGGATCTAAATGAAATTGCACAGTGCGCCAGACACGCGCGCCCTCATGCGGGCGCATTTCATATCAAGGTGTGCCGCACCAGCAGCTAGATGCGTTTGGCAGCCTGTGTCGGATGACAGAGCGCGCGGGCCACGCGCGCGCGTGTTGAGCACAGGCAGCGGGCAAAAAACCATTGATTGGTCTGTGAGCATGCCAACACAGATAGATCTGAGCATTTTCTCAGGGTAGAGGGCAAAGGGTGAAATCTCAAATGCCGTTTCGATTGGTTCTCGAGGCTTGAACTTGCAGAAGGTGAATCACAAGTCGGATTGATTTTCGAGGTGCAAAAGCCCATATGGATTTCACCCTGAGCCCTCCACCCCAAGAACATGCTCTGCCAGATGTGGCAAACACACACACACACACATGATAGCCGTCTGTTGTTCAACCGCAGGTCTGCCAGGCTGTTTAGTTTCCACGCGCCCGCACTTTCTCAACCTCCTATTCAGCACCGTCGCCCTTGCCATCAGCGCCACCCCCTCTATCATCATCAGCACTCGCTCGCCCGAGCCACAAATATAGGAGAAGGGTCCTCGCGTCACTGCGCCAGTTGAGTTTTTCCCGCCTGGTTGCGGGTGGTCGGCTGGGATGTCTGCACGAGCGTTCAAGGTGGTGTGCGGAGTCCCGAGAGGCGAACCTTCTTTCTGACAGCAATGATTCAATTCCTACCCCTTTTTCACCGAGGTTTCGTGCTTTGTTCTGCACGATCGGCTAATTCTTTTTTTCGTTCGTACGATTTCAAAGTGCCGGTGCCGCCCCCCCCCCCCTCATTTTCGTTGATGAACATGTTTTTTTTCACAGGCACGCATCTGCGATGTGTGTCTTGAAACATTTTCTTCCACGACACATAATGCAGGGTACTCGTGCGGTCCGCCGCGCGAGCAGATCAATATCGTTCGTTAAGCAACAAAGAATTTTCCAACCATCCGGTGCAGAATTCCCCAAACAGTGCTTGCACTCAGGGAATATTACTTCTCATTCCAGGAACCGGGTCTGCCTGTCGGTCTGGCGGCTAAGTTGCCGCCTGTCGCCGCCCCGTCTTCGCCTCGTCGCCGCCCGTCGTTTGGGCCTGTCTGGGGGTCTGGCGGCTATGTTGCCGCCGTCGTCGCCTGTTGCCGCCTCGTCGCAGCCCGCATCGGGTCTCCCTTTTTAGAAAGGTTTGGGATCTACCACGACCCCCCTGGTTCATCGCCTCTCCCTGGGATTCTACAACTTATGTATGATGATGCCCCATGGTAAGTTGGTGCCACCCCAGCTAGACCCAATATCGCCCACGCCTTCATCCCTGCTGAAACAGTTAGCTGCTCGCTCAGACGTTTACCAAAAAACATATACGTTCAAGATTCCATTGCAAAAAGAGCTGAACAAGTCCATGCGCACGCGTCGTCGCGCGCGCACGTCGGACCCCGTAAACGAATAATAGGTTTCAAATGGGTTTCAAGATGAAGGTTCCCACACATAGGTGTGTGTAATACTTATGCTTACTTACAATAAGAGCCAGAGTGTTGCAACATTGGTTGTCACCAGAAACATATGCGCGCACACTTGCGAATTCGTGAGAAACGATCGGCGTTCAACCGCTTCTCCAAACGAGACCATGCGAGCCTCCCGCGCGCATGTCGGGGTTGATCGAACGCCCTTGCGCGCACGTCGGTCGTTCGAACGCCCGTTCGAACGCCATGTCAAATCATACCATGCTGGCCACTCGCGCGCGTCGGCCGCGCGCACATGGCGAAATCTTTTCCAGAACCTTCGTCGCCGACGCGTGGGCACCACCATCGTCGCTGGCGTGATTCGCATTGGCGCCGTCATCGGCCCTTCCCCCCGCCGCCATAGTCATCATCGTCACCAGCATCGCCACTACATCATCGTGTTTGCCGTTGTCGGCGTCGACATGATTCCGTTTCCGCCCGATGCGCCGACCCGCCATGACATACCTTCACGTCAGCGCGGCCTGCGAGACGGGCTGGGAAGTGCCCGGCGGTCAGCGCCACCTCGGCCGCTCTCCGCGCGAGCTTGCGCGCGTTATGCCGCATCGATTCCACGGCCAACGCCAACCAATTACCGCAATCGCCACTGCATTTGCTTTGCACACCAAGTTGCGGGTTGGCGGGCAGGATCATTACGCGACCAGTGGGGTTGATAGATCCAAGCCCTTCAAGAGTAGTTGTTGCACCACGTAGACTGCGCCACGTAGATTGCACCAGAGAGATTGCACAAAGTAGAACTTCCTATCCGGAAAGAACTTAGATTCTCCCCCCCCCCAGATTTACCGTTCCCACTTGGGATCGGGCGTTGTTCTTGTGATTCTATCCCATGATCATGTCAAATTCGAGCTCGTACCATCCCAGCTTGACCCCTTTACCGTTCCCGCCCCTTCCACCCTTGCCAAGCATTGCGCTGCACTACACACACACACACTCGTGTATACAAACCATACAGTTTCAATAATCCCTTGCAACAGAAACAGGACAAACTACAAACGCGCGCGGAGCCGCGCGTGCATACCGACTTGTTCCCCCAACTTGCGACTTCGCATGGGTTTCAAGATCGATGATTCCGAAAATGCTTGAAACAACGCCATTGGTTTTGCAACATTATTGTGAAACATGCGCGCGCGGTCTTGCGAGGTCGGTGGGGGGAATCATGGTGCTTCAAGGTGCTCGTCAAATGCGACAAGACGGGCCACCGGAGCGCGCATGTTTCTGTCATTCGAACGCTTTTGCGCGTTGGTTTTGGGGGGGAGCGCGGCAGAAGCCCTGTCAAATTCTGAAATCTTTCCAAAACCTTCAGCACCGACACGTCGGCTTCATCATCGTTACTGGCGTGACCACCATCGGCGTCGTCATGTGCCTTGCGCCGTCGTCAACGCCAGCATCGTCACCATCACCGCCACCAACATCAGAATGTCCGCCCTTGCCGACGGCACCATGATACCGCGCCCGCCCGAGTCACCGACTTGCATTGAAGTGCCCTCGCGCCAGCGCGCCCTGCGAGACGGGCTGTGAATTGCCCAGCGGTCAGCTTCACCGTGGCCGCGTCGGTCGCGCCAGGCTAGCTAGCCGCTCTGCGCGCGAGGTTGCGCGCGCTAGCGCGGACGTATCGATGCGCCAGCCATTCCCGAACAGTCTTCGCAATCGCCGCCGCGTTGGTCTGGCCAATGATGTTGCGCATGGGTGTGTGGGATGTTTGCGCGAGCGGTGGAGTCGACAAATCATTCGTGAGAGTTGGTGAGTTATACCACGTAGATTCCCTGTGCTGAAGAGAAAGTTGGATATACTGCACCCCCGCTCCGGAATTACCGCCCCAACTTGGGCAGTGCAATGTACCTGCGATTCTTCCCCATCGTTCATTTAAATGAGATCTCGTACCAGCCCAGCCTGACCTGTTATCGACCCCTGGCCTTCACCCCTGTCAAATATTTTACGCGCATTCGTACATCAACAATCATACATGTTCCAATGAGACCTTGGAGGGGAACCTTCGAGCGATCGAACGTTCGGTGTCTGTTCCGGATTGCGCGCAGGCCCAGTGAAACGATGTCGTCTATTATATTGGATGTTTGTTTTTTGTGCAAGTGTACGGCATTCGTTGTTGTTGACAAAAAATAAAGATCAAACACAATATTATACGTCATCGCAAAGCCTGTTCTGTTATGCCTCCGTCTAGTGAGTCAGTTTCTTTTCCATCGACTCTTGCCCGCAATGCCATATGTTCTGCCCGGTTCGCTCTCTTATAAAATGATCGGCAGTCTGGCGTGATGCCGTGACAATTGTCACGATTGATACGTCGTCCAATCGGTCGTTGCTCCGATTGTTTAATCTAGAGGCCAGCCCGACCCCTGCGCGCACGTCCAGTTTGATAGTGCCATCGCACGGTGCATTATGTCATGGGGTTCCTATTCTTTCTAGGGTGTTGTGTTTTTGCGTTGTTGCGCCGTGTTATGCCATGTTGTGTTCTGCCATGTTATGTTATGCCATATGTTGTTCAGCGGTGTTGTTTACGCTATGCTAAGTTAGTGACAGCAAATTATGATATGCTCTGTCATGGCATGCTCCGCCAATGCAGATGTTCAAGGTCGTTGCCGAAACGGTATCAGTAGTGTAAGAGTCATGTTATGCGATCTGCGTTGCGTTGTCTGCTGTCCAACATATAATGCCATAATCTGCTATGTTAACATCGGGTATAATTTAGGCCATCCGGTATCAGAGTGTGAACAACAGTACAGACCTTTCAGTACGCTATTACATTACCCGCTGTGGTATACCCTGACATGTTCCGGTATGTCATTGTATGCGTTGCGATGGCATGGTATGTTCCATGTTGCGTTATGTCATGCTCTGTTCCGTTAAGATGAAGATATGATTTGCCATGCGTTGTCATGTCTTGCTATCGTATAGTATGGTATGCCGCGGCTGTGAAATAATGCAATGACATGGTATGGACTGCTGTGCTCTGGCCTTCTTTGGTATGGTATGCTTTAGTATGCCATTGTGTGAAACTGTATGTTATGCCATGCTGTGTTCTGGTATGCTCCGTTCGTTCGTTTGTGTTGTGATGTGTGGTGCTGTGCTGTGTCCTGTATGATCCGTCATGTCAGTGCATGCGGTGCGGTGATGTGTCATGACACGCTCTTGTACTCCATGCTATGGCATGGTGTGATGTCATGGTATAGGCCTTCGCCCCCGATTCGCTGCTTGACTGCCATGCAGCCCCTGTAGCAGGCCCGAGAGGCCGAGATCCAGTATACGTCGAAACGCATGTGTTGGAAACAAAGTGTGTTGTCGGAGAGTCGGTTCTCGGGGCCGCCCCTCGGCTCCTCGGCGGCCGTTCGGGACGATCACGGCACGCCGCGGCGCTGGCCAATGGAGGATTTCTCCGAAGGGCTTAGGCGACCCCTCCTCCTCCTCCTCCTCCTCCTCCTCCTCCTCCTCCTCCTCCTCCTTCCCCTCCTCCTCCTCCTCCTCCTCCTCCTCCTCCTCCTCCTCCTCCTCCTCCATCACCTCCTCCTCCCCCACCTCCTCTCAAGACGTGTTGGCACGAGCAGCAAGTCCCTAGGCCCCTCGTTTTGAGGGGCATTGCGAAGCCATGTGATCCCGTCCTCTTCCCTGGGACCAGCCTCCTCTTCCTCCTTCTCCTCCTCATCCTCCTCCTCATCCTCCTTCTTTTCCCTCTCCTCCTCCTCCTTTTCCTCCTCCTCCTCCTCCTCCTCCTCCCTTCTCCTCCTCCTCCTCTCCTCTTCCTCCTCCTCCTCCTCCTCTTTTCCCCCCCTCCTCCTTTTCCTCCTCCTCCTCCTCCTCCTCCTCCTCCTCCTCCTCATCCTCCTGCTCCATCTCCTCCTCCCCCTCTCCCTCCTGCTCCTCCTCCTCCTCCTCCTCGGGTCGCCTGCGGCCCCGGGGGAAACCGTGCACTGGTGGAAACCACCCCGGGCGTCGGAGGCTCCCGAGCACGTCCGAAGAGTTTCGAGCGCCACGGAAAACTCCTCCCAGGGGCAAGTCCTCGCAGGAGATTTCTCGCCCACCGCCCGCGCTCCCGCCCAAAGAGCGAGATCGCCCCGGAAAGAGAGGGGGGACACTCGAGCAGTGACCCCCAGGGGGCCATGTTCGGGCGCGCCTGAATCGAGGATGGGCGCCCCCCCGCCTCCGTGGCAGATCCCCGAGTGGTGCCCCAAAGTCTGGGTCCAGTCGGGAACACCACGAAGTCGGGGACTCCATGAGCTGACAACTGGCACCCGTGCGTGTGCGGTCCCCTCGGGGTGGCATTCGGGGGGCGGGGAGGCCATGGGCGGGTGCTGTCGAATGGGGATCCCCGCTCGGACGGGAGGCCCCCCTCGGGGTCCGACACATGGCGCCCGCACGTGTGGCGCCTTCACCTCCTTGCCCTTGCCCATTCCTCCTCCCTATACGGTCGGGCCGAGGTACAAGATTGAGGTCGGTTCCGGGAGGGTGTCCTGATGATCTTCGTGTCGGTTGGATGTTCTTGTGCATCCCGCGGGAGGGCACTCTCGAGAGAATTCATGGGTTTGGGTGTTTTCTCCAGCGGATGGTCTGATGTTCTTGAAGGATATTATTATGTCTTATGTCCGGCCGTAGGTTTACGGCGTGCGTTGTGTTTCCATCATTCAGGAGGGGGAAAGCACAGACAACATGATTCGTCGACCCCTTGGACAATGTGCGAAAGCATGGGAAGTGTTGGGTGGGGAAGACGAAAACCCAGAGAGCATTCAAGATTTGGGAACTCCTGGGACGTGTGCCTATCTATTGGTGTGTCCCTGGGCACATTCGATCATTGCAGGCAGTCAGAGCCTCGAATCATCAGGGGTAACTCGGGTCAGGGCTAACTCGGGTTCGTTTTTCGGGATTCCGAAACCGAGTTACCCTGAATAATTCGGGCGTCCAGAGCCCCAAACCATCAGGGGCAACTCGGGTCAGGGCTCTTTCGGGGTTTTCATTTTTCCAGGAATCCAAACCCGAGTTACCCCGGGCCCTTGCCCTCGATAACCTGGGCGCCCATGGCACGATCCCCGGGAAACGATACGGGACAACATGGGAAGTGTGGGGTGGGGACGACGAACGCCTAGAGATTATTCAAGATATCTGGGAACCCCTGGGGCGTGCGCCGATCTGTTGGTGCGTCCCTGGGCCCCTCCGATCCCTGCAGGCGGGGCGGCGGGGCAAGAGCCTCGAATCATCAGGGGCAACTCGAGTCAGGGCTGACTCGGGTTGGTTTTTTCTCGGGAGCCCAAACCCGAGTTACCCCGGGCCTGAGTTGCCCCAGATATCTCGGGCGCCCAAGGCACGATCCCCGAGAACAAATATGGGAAAACATGGGAAGCGTGGGGTGGGGACGGCGAACGCCCAGAGAATGTTCAAGATATCTGGGACACCCCGGGGCGTGCGCCTACCTGCTGGTGTGCCCCTGGGCCCCTCCGATCAATGCAGGCAGGGCGGCGGGGCAAGAGCCTCTTGCGGGGGCTGCGGCTGGGCTGCGGGCTCCTGGGCGCGCTCTGCGCGTGCCCCGCGGCCGCGCGGGAGGCGGCCGCCGCGGGCGCGGCCCCCGCGGTCGTGAGGGCCATGCGCGCCCAGGCGAGGGACGCGGCACACCCAGACCTCCTCGACCTCCCCCCCCTTCCCCTCCTCCTCCTTTTTCTCCTCCTCCTCCTCCTCCTCCTCCTGCTCCTCCTCCTCCTCCTCCTTATACACCTCCCTCTCCTCATCCTCCTGCTCCTTCTCCTCCTCCTCGACCTCCTCCGTCCTTCTCCTCCTACTTCCTCTCCTCCCTCCTCCTCCTCCCTCCTCCTCCTCCTCCTCCTCCTCCTCCTCTCCTCCTCCTCCTTCCTCTCCTCCTCCTCCTCCTCCTCCTCCTCCTCCTCCTCCTCCTCCTCCTCCTCCTCCTCCTCCTCCTCCTCCTCCTCCTCCTCCTCCTCCTTCCTCCCTCTCCTCCTCCTCCGCCTCCTCCTCCTTCCCTCCTTCCTCCTCCTCCTCCTCCACCTCCTCCTCCTCGCACCTCCTCCTCCTCCTCCTCGCTCCTCCTCCTCGCTCCTCCTCCTCGCTCCTCCTCTTCCTTCTCGCTTCTCCTCCTCCTCCTCCTCCTCCTTCTCCTCCTCCTCCTCGATCGAAACGGATACGTACATAAAGGAATGGGTACAAAGGCCGACAGCATGTTTTGATCGTTGTGGACAGGGCTCGCTGTCGGTGTGGCCGTGGATTTTGTCCTCTTGAGCCAGAAGGCCGCCTGCCCAACAGTGGCCGCTGCTGTTTTGGACAGCACTTGTTGGTGGGCATTCAGATAAATTTTGTCCGTACCCAGTTCGGGCGTGCAAGCCGAAGATAGGGGTCCTGAGGGATGGGGGCCGAAGGACGGGAAGGGATCCAGGGGTGGATTTTCGTTGTCTGAGGCACGTCCTGTGAACCACCAGAAATCGGCATGCAGATAATTCCTCTGAACTCCGCGCGGATTTCTTGGATCGGCGCTGGGCCCCCGATGGCGGCGCCTCCGGCGCCGCCCCTCGCGCGCTCCGCGCGCCAGAGACGGGGGGGTCCGCCGCCCATCCAAGAATTCCGCGCGCACATGTTTGGCTCCTGTAGCCCAGACCCCCTCGAGTCGTGAGCGAAGACACGATGGGAGGATGCTGACAATTCCCGGGCTCCTGGGGCCCTCGCTGGGCCCCAGAGCAGTCAGCAACAACGGCTCGGGAGTGGCTCGAGACCTCGTGTTGAGGGCCCACATCATGGTTAGGTAGGGCGCGTCCCCTTACAGGCGGATTTTGGACGACAACTAAAAAAGTATCCCAAAACTACGCACAAATAATCACAAATAGTCAACACATCTTCCCCAGACTATTTGTTGACGATTTTCGAATATTCCTCCTGTAAGTTGACAAGCCTGACTTAACGTCATGTACAAATCTGGACACTGACTGTTTCCTGGGCATTGCCCTTGCTTCACACTAGGCTTGTCCGTTCAGTTTTGGGCCCTGTGGCCATCACACACCGATCTGGCTCCACAGATCTTGTCGAAAAATGGTGTCCAGGGCATCAGTTTTTGGGATTCTGCGATGCTGTGGTTTTTCGGGCGACCTCGGATCTCAGGCCAGGCACTCACTCCCTCGGCGGCTGGTGCTGCCAGGATTGCCAGGAAGCAAACGAGCGTCCTGAGGGAAACCCTGATCTCCGACTGCATTTGTTAAACAGTCAACCCGCATAGCAATGATGGGCAACCTTCCCAAGGATACCTTTGCATCCTTGCCTCCTCGGTCCATCCTTCGCCGCTTTCGCTGGCCGCGCCCCGCTCGAGAAGCTCCGAAACGGCCTTCCAAGGCCCCTGCATCCGCATCGTGCATCCTCATTATCTGGGCCGACTGCAATCCAGACGTTTTTCGTCTGGGGCCTGGGGCCCGTCTTCGGGCTCTGGAGCAGTCAAGATTGCACGCACGAAATGGGTACTGAAATAATGGGTACGATGCCCAACAGCGGATGTTGTTCATTTTGAACAGGGCTCGCTGTCCACGCCGCCGCGGCCTGTGTCCATTCGAGACAGGGGGGCCGCCTGCCCAACAGCGGCCGCTGTTGGTTTGGGACAACATTTGCTGTTGGGCATTGTACCCATTTTTTCGGTACCCATTTCGGGCGTCCAAGCCTCGGCGAAACACTGGCCCCCGGGAGGGAGGTGCTCGGGACCTGTCTCTGGGGCCGCGCGTGGAACAGCAAAGACACGTCGTCGGAGGCCTGGGAGCATGTTCTCCGGTATGCGATTGGTTGTTTTGGATTCGTTGTTTTTTGCCGTGCGGCGCGGGCCCTCGCACCCCCCCCTCCCCCCCCTGGAGTAGATCTTGGCTGTTCTGGGCGACTGCTTCGAACAGGTGGAGCCTCGCCCATGATGGCCGCACTGCTGCAAGCAGACGCACTGAGCAGGGGTCCAGAGCCAGACCCCCCTTCTCCCCCTCCCCCTTTCCACCCAGTGTCGAAACGAGACCAACCCCGCGACCCACCCCGCGACACTAACTCGCGGCCCCCCCGCGACCCACCCTCGATCCACCTGCGACCCACCCGCGACCCACCCGCGACCACTTTGCGACCCACCCAGCGATCCATCCGGCGCCCGCCCCTCACTCTCGGGTGATACATACTCGTATACGGTTGGCAGATTGTTGCAGATTCGACGAAGGCAGCAGCTGTGGGGTACGTCAGTGCTGCCGTCGATCTCCTGCTCGAAGGGTGGAGGAGGAGGAGGAGCAGGAGCAGGAGCAGGAGCAGGAGCAGGAGCAGGAGCAGGGAGGAGGAGGAGGAGGAGGAGGAGGAGGAGGAGGAGCAGGAGGAGGAGGAGGAGGAGGAGCAGAAGGAGGAGGAGGAGGAGGAGCAGGAGGAGGAGGAGGAGGAGGAGGAGGAGGAGGAGACCAGAAGGAGGAGCAGGAGGAGGAAGAGCAGGAGCAGGGAGGAGGAGGAGGAGGGAGCAGGAGGAGGAGGAGGAGGAGGAGGAGGAGGAGGAGGAGGAGGAGGAGGAGGAGGAGTGATTCTGACACCCTCCTCTGTGCGCCTATTTTGGCTCAAGATGAAAAAGAGATATTGCAGTACATCGGCATATTATCTCATCATGGTAGCGTGAGCTGGCCACTCACTGCTGCCGACCCCGCCCAGGCCTCGGCGCGCCGCGGCCGCGGGCGCCACGGCGAGCCAGCAGGAGGCTCGAGGCTGGAAGAGAGCGGCATCGGTCGCGGCAAGCTCGGCAGCGTCCGAGCGGCCGGACGCCATTGAGGAGGCGCAGAAGGAGGTCCTAGGCAGGATCACGGACCTTGAGCGCACGAGGCAGGAGATAGCAGAGAGCCGGGAGGAGCTCGCCGAGAGACACGCTGTCAAGCATGGACGAGCAGGTTCGGCAGCAGTTCGAACTGCTGAGGCAGGAGTTCGCGGCTCAAATAGGCCAGGCCGCCGACGAGATGAGGAGGCTGGGGAACGAGAATCAGCGTCTTCAGCAGCAGGTGGCAGGAGGCCTCGCGGCAATCCCGCAGGCGATCGAGCGGATGGGCGAGCAGATCCGGGGCGCGTCGAGTATGGGTCCAGCCGCTCACGGTCTCGTCGACACGAAGGGGATCGGCAAGCCCACGACGATGGGCGACGATCAAGAGAAGTTCGGCGCTTGGAATCGCAAGATGGAGAACTACGTGATCGGCGTGTACGGAGAGAGCTTTCGTCCCGTTCTTCGATGGGCTGCAGAAGCCGAACGCCCCGTGACGATCGCGGGGGCTCAGGCGGCGCACGACGGAGTGCCAGAGCTGGAGACAAAGGTCAACCAGCTGTACGCGGCGCTGATCAGCACGACGGCGGACGGGAGCGAGAGCAACGACCTCGTGACGGGCGCTCCCGATGGGAACGGTCTCGAAGCCTGGCGGAAGCTCCACCGCAGGTGGGATCCGACGACAGGTCCGAGGAAGAGGCTGATCCTGAGGTCGATCATCTCGCCTCCGAAGTGCAGCGCGGACGAGCTGGGGTCCGCCTTAGAGAAGTGGATCCAGCAGATAGGCAGGTACGAACGCCGCCAAGGAGAAGATGGTCTAGCCGAGCTGCCGGAGGATATCAAGATGGCGGCTCTCGAGATGCTCGTCCCTCAGGACATCGAGAACCACCTCGTCCTCAACAAGCATCGGCTCGAAACGTTCCAGGACAGTCTGAACGAGGTGATGACGATCGTGGAGGCTCGGACCGGCGTGAAGATCAAGGAGCCATCGATCCGTGCGCGGGCGCATCATCCGGACGACATGGACGTCGGGTCGTTCGGAGCCCCGAAGGGCAAAGGCAAAGGCAAGGGCAAGGACGGCAAGAGCAAAGGGAAAGGCAAGACTCAGGAGCCGAAGGGGAAGAGCAAATCGACGAACGGATCATACTCAGGCTCCCGCACATCCCCGACGGGTTCGGGCCGTGGTTCAGGGCACACGGCACCTCGATACACCAGCGGGCGCTTCGACGGCTACTGTCGGAACTGCGAGAGATGGGGCCACAAGGCATCCGACTGCTGGAAGAAAGAGCAGGGATCGAGTTCGAGGGCTGGAACTGGATCCGCAACGGGGGCAAGCGCTGGTGGTAAAGCCGGTAGCCGCGGCGGCAAGGCCGGCGGCAAGGCTGCAGGCAGCCTGGAGGAGGAGCCTGAAGCGGAGGTCGCCGCTCTGGACATGGGCAGCCTGGACTGCCTGGAGCTCGCCAGCGGCAGCGGCCGCGGCGTAGCGGCGGTCGATCTCTCTCCCTTCGCGCAGGACGACTGGATGAAGTTCAACTGGGACAGCGGTGCAGCTATCTCAGCATTCCCTCGGAGCTTCGCGCCGCCGACGGGAATGAAGGGCAACGGCAGCACGTATCGTACGGCCAGTGGTGAGCTCGTCCCGGACGAGGGCAGCTTGCAGCTCAAGGCGGAGGACGAGTACGGAGTGCTACGAGCGCTCAAGGGACGCGTGACGAACGTGCACAAGCCGTTGATCTCGGTGGGGCAGGCAGCAGGAGCTGGACAGTGTTCATTCCTGGGCCGCAATGGCGGCTGGATATTCCACGAGAAGAGCCCAATCGGCAAGCGCGTGGTAGGCATGCTCGAGAAGGAGGCGAAGGCGGCG